TATATCTTTATGGTATCAATTTCTCTGCCTGCATTCGAGCATTTAGACAGACTTAATTATTATTTATATACTCGCTCATGAAGTTAAAAGGAGTATATTGGCTTTGTGAAATGTTCGCCCGTCTGTCATACTACAGACTTGATACTTTGAAGCCATACACCACTGTAGCTTCGCTCTATGAGATGTTAAATCCGAAATTATTATAGTTCGTATAGAACGTACAGAATATAGATTTTTTCAGGTGTTACGTGGTATTGAATTTTGAAATGTGAAAGCCACAAATATATAAATTCTTCACAGTTTTAGGGGCAGATCCATTAAATTGTGCAACTCTTGATGTTCCGATTCTTTATAGATAGGTAACACTATTCTGTATGGATCATCAGCCATGTGGCACATCAGGCTATATGGGGGTTATTACCATAGAGCTCGAGCTAAAGTTAACTTATTATAGACCTTTGCTTGAACAGTATAGACCTTCCCGAGCAGTATTTAACTCTTTTCGAAGTGTGAATGAGTGTTATGAAGTCGGGAGTGCACGATTGTAACATTCTTACTCATTTTTCTTTTTAGTATGAATGACCTGTGACTCATATATTTGTTTTTATATGCACAGTATTTCCTATAGATACGATCATCAATCCAGATGCAGCTTGAGTTAGGCTTGAGGTGAAAAGTGGATTTAATTTGCGCTTGATGATTCATTAGCTTATAAATATGAGAATATACATACATACATATATAAATACATATTATATTAGTATACTAATTGCATTTGCCTTCTCTTTCTCCACAGAGGACCGGAGCTATTTGCATTTGTTGCCAACGAAATCGCGCGCCATTGCAAGCGTCCCGGCAGTCCCATCGATGACAAAATGGACATTTGCCACTACACCAGTAAACGTCAGCGCTTTATGTAATCAGCATCCAGCGTCATTCAGCGCCACACACACACATATATATATATATAGACAAAACCACACACACACTCCCACACACACATGGATTGACCCACGCTTGTACACACCGAAAAATGAAATGCAACAACACAAGTCAGGGGAGTTGGGGAGAACAGATAACTGTTGATGGTAGCAGTTACCGTTACACACAGTGTGTGCACATGAGTTTGTGTGTAATAAATGTATGTGCGTGATGTGGGTGTGTGTGTGTGGCAGTTAGCCGCGAAATAGGATAAATAGTTTCAGTACTATTATAATGTTAAATTTTGTTTATATTTATGCCGTAAATTTCTTGTTACTGCGTTTAGCTGCCACAAGCACTACAGACACAGATACACACACACATACACAAATGCATGCACACACTCATACACAGACACAGAGCAGCATAAGTTAGCTTTAGTTTATGATTAAGCATAAAACGCTTTTGTTGTACATTTTTCAAGTCAAGAGGTGGTCCAAAAAACATAGCGAAAATATTATGTTAACACACATACACACACACACACGGGAGTTATATGTAGCGTAGTATAACACATACATACGCGCACACACACAATCACATACTGTTCAAAGCCAAAAATTGTATATATAAGTTGTTGTAATTGTATATATAAGGCAGACGAATAGAACGCATAAAACATTTTCAAAGGGCAACCTTATGTATGTACGTACTACAATTATCGCTATWTATTTATTTGTGTGTGTGTATAAATCATCTGAATAATACAATTCGCAACACGATCGTAACGCTTCCCCAAAACTCTGAGCACCCAAAAATCCACTAAAAGGCCAGCTGAAAAAATACAACAAAAGCAAACAAAATTCAAATTAAAAATTATTAACATTTAGACGAGACGATAATCCGATGATGGTACGATGTTTGATCTTGGCGGCAAATTGACCGCATTGTGTAGTTAGCCAGATAAAATACATCTATATTTATTCGTATAGAGCCCGCCACATGCATCTATGTATATGAGTAATGAGAAAACGATGATGAACTTGAGTGTATGTAAAAAAAAAAAAAAAAAAAAAAAAAAAAAAAAAAAAAAAAAACAAGAAACGAGAACAGAAGGAAAACATGAACATAGAAAAACACGTACTAAAATTTCATGTATTAAAAGAA